AGCGAGTGCCGGTAAATCTTTTTACGGAAAGTAATAATAATGTTAAAACATTTTCCGCGCTTTAAATACTTTTCAGCGCTCGCGGTCACGACTGTAATGAAACTGAAAATAATTGGACGGGAGAGTACTTTCGTTTTTATTTCAAGATTGTATTTAAACAAAAAATCTTCTTTGGTCGAATGGTTGTCGAGCAAGATTAGGTCTCGGGTTGGACTCGCGCAGCATTTTGTGATTTTATAAATTCTAAGAGTTAAATTGTGTTTGATATTTGTCAATAAGCTCAATCGCTGTTAAATATGACAAATAGAAACAGTTAAGAAGTGAACCATCTCCATCCTGTGAACACGAGCTGTGATATAATTTAATTCAACAACACGAACATGCAAATTTTAGATGTAATATTACAAAGCCTCCGTTAATTTTGATTCAGGAAGTACGAATATACCAATGTACGTCAGAAGAGCGCCTGTGTACTTTAAATATTAAACAGAATCCGTTCGATGACGATCTTCCAGAGTTGTGGAAATATAAATATTCGCTTCGTGGCTTCCATAAAATTGAATTAATAAATACTTGGACTGAAATATTGTATGAACATTTTAAAGTTGGAATTTTCAAAATTACACTTTTTGTTCATGGAATAAGGACTAATGTTTGGTAATAGTTATAGATGTGTTAGTAACTACTTGAAACTTCCTTCATGGAACTGAAAAACTAAATATTTGGTCTTAGAAATAATTTGTAGACTTCTTCGACTTAAGCAATTAAACCACGTCGTATGACTTAAGGTATGTTGTTATCTCCATTCCATGTTCAAGGAATTAATTCAAAAGTAATACTGTTGTGCAATTGCATTAGCATTGATCAATCGCGTATATTATGTGGCTCATCAGTATTCAGATTGGATGGATGACGCGGACTTATGTTGGATCGATCTATCACAGTCAGTTCAGTGATAACATCGGAAGGGTGCGGACGTGTGTGAAGGCCGACACGTTTCATTCTCGACTTCCACTCCATGACAGAGCAAGAATCTAAGGATTTATTGAATCGCCCACTAGCTTTATAAGGACCACTAACATCGATAACATTTGTATGACATGTCCCATGTTTTAATGTGAAGTAAGGTAATTGTTTCGTTTTAATCTTGTAATTACCATTATTTATTTACGTAAAAAGCCTCCTCAGTGTTATAACCATTTATTGTAGAGTCGGAGAGGTCACGGAGATTTGTGTGACTTTTAATTTATTTTTAATTGGTTCTCCGGCACGCGTCTCACCCTCAGCTCTTGTACTTATCTGCATAATATGGCAGTGGACGACTGGCATTGGACTTCAATATATGTTGGGCTTGAAACTGTACCGAAAATATTGCAAACGTTTGTGAGAGTGGCAACGTGGAAACAAAATATCTTTCATTACATTCATCATGAATTTAAACACTCCTTTTTATGATAATGTTGGTCTATTAAATTTATTTATCCATTCATTTTCCTATTAATATTTAATGAGATAATTATTTTATTTTCGTCCTTGTTTTTCTCAATTACCTTAATGATTCAGTAAGTACTTAAAACGGGAAGCAATTGTCTTGTGGGGTTGCACCGACCCCAATTTATCTATTGTCGGAGCCCTTCAATGGAATTATTTTAAGCTCTTTAAAGAATTTCTTTTGGCAACCCTACCGATGACTAAGCAGAAAAATATTTTTGCATTTTTTAAGATTCAGTCCCCTTTATTTTTGCTCAGGGTCCTAACAATGGGACTGTGTCCGATACCGTAATGATGACTTACAATATTTTATCGAAATACAATTTTAAGACGGCAATGTCTTGACCGTGAACTTACCACCTTGAATATCAATATATTTTTGAGTGTCAATAAAACATACATACTCCATATAAGTAGAACCAAATAAAACGAAATCTATAGTCATAAAGTTTCCACGATTGTTATTAATTTCCTAAACATTTAGGGTTCACAGCACACATGACATTATATCGAACTTTTCAAACGCTCCTCGATATGTAATGACAGACATGATGTCGTTATGCTAATTCCCATTAAACACAACTTACAAGGCAGACGCCGCGGAACTCCTACGCAGTCGACTTTTTGTTCGTTACACGCAGAACGTGACGCCAGCTATCTGCCATTATGGATAAAGTTTTGGGTTTCACCGAAAATATATCAGAGAAATGAAATGGAAAGAGCGCACGTAGCCGGTTTACAAAAAATAATGATAACGTTATAGATGTCTCCTCTTTTATTTAATTTTCTCCTTTATTCCTAGCAGAGGCACTTTGATGTTGTTACGTAAATTGATTTGCGTTGCTACATATTTCTTCGCTTACACCTACTGATTGTTGTATCATTATTATTTGAATAACACACCGAAAGTTATGGCCCGACTGTTGGACGGGTTTTCTTTTTTAGTAAGCTATCCTATGTGTCGGCTCGAAGTCACACACTGAACAGTTAAGGTTCTTATTATAATTTTCATTATTCTCTATCACAAGACATTCGTTGACAATAAAATTCCTCTAATATAAGATAAGCACTCGTGATGTACATCACTGGGAGAATCACAAAAATGTTGGCAAGCGTATGTATTGCAGACGTGGCCACTTATACCTTTTGGCTTTCCATTCAATTCGGAGCACGTCAAGCACTTTTACATGGAAAATTGCCCCACAACCATTGAGATAGCAAAGCTGGGGGCTTTTGGTGACGAGTCTGTATTCCTCACACAATCATGTTTTCTGATTGTCCCTTAGCAGTGGTTTCTGAGAATTTTATTTGTGTTTATGAGGAAGAAATTAGTAAGTAGAACTTTGTGCGTATATTGTAAATGGTTCAATTCGAATTTAAATACAAAAGTTACTTCATCAAGAAGTTCAATCAAAGCCAATTTACGGAGAGGTAAAGTCACTTAACTGGACTGTACAAACAAATTGAGTTACCATCATTTGAAGCTGAATTTGAAATATATTTTTAGCGATCCATCTCGTTAGTCAATTTGACATGATTGAATCTGGGTGAAATCGTATGAAAAGACATTCCGGTAGGAGATGGGACGTACTTAAGAAGTAAAAGGAAATCGAAATAAATTCGATTGAAGTATTTTTCGGTTATAAAATGCCATGAACTGCATTGAAACATCTGATTTAATATAGCACTGATTTGTTTCTAAAATTCTCTAATAATATTTCCCGAATCTTAATAAACAGATTTATTATGTAGAATACTATTTTTTAGTGACTTATAAGTTTTAGTACTCTTCTTTGTAAAGATGTTCATCAGTAAGTGGGTCGCCACGTGCAGCGACAACGAGTATCTGTGAGTCGCAAACATGGCCGCTACCCGCCGCATTCTCATATTGTATCGTCTTTGATCAGTGGCTCGGCGCGGCACGGATATAATACCGAATACCAAATATTTGAACGATATCATCGATCCCCATTACATTATATTGTAGGTGTATACTTATAAATCACAGTACCTTTAACGTAGAAGTTTCTAGTCAAGTGCGGAAAAAAAATACGGTTATTTACTGATTAATGTACCGGCGGAAAATAAGTACTTATAATTAATTAGAACAAGATACTTTCAGGAAAAATAGAAAATTTAAGTAAACACGCCGCAGGGAGCAAGCACTCGGATGGGACACGATACTCGTAGAGACAGAGCTCGCAGCTTGTCCCGTCTCGAAATATACCTCACACAAAAAATCTTGTATCTTTTAAAAATATTGGGAAGAGAAACAATATTAGGCAGCAAGCCAAGGTTTATTAAGTAATCCCATCCTGTGGGCCATAATTTAAAAACGTGACATAAACAAGTGATAAAATGCTCAGTTTACAAGACCCAACAGCGGACTCAAAAACTAAGTGGCCATGTTGTGCCGTAACGAGAATAATAAATAGCATATTTGACAATACACACTTAGGCCAAAATTGCCAAGGCCTCATTTTTGTGCCGTGATTTATGTCCGGCCCGGGCCGGCTCGCCCGCGGCCCGCCCGCGGCCGCCCGCCCCGAATTTATCGCCGCTCTACGAACACTTTATTTCTCCGCATTATTATCAACAGACTGTTTCCTACACATTATCATACATTACAATGTCTCGTGTCTACTGATTGAATCCATTCTTTTATTACAACAAACAATTATTTATGTTTAGGAACATATTTCGTTTCACTGAGAAAGACTATATAACAATGAAACGTGTCTATTGTTACCTGATTTATTACAAAAATAAATAATTCGTAAACATGAGTTGTTAATGGACAACCAAATAATAACGATAAAATGAGCAATTAGCTAAGGTAAAATAATAAAAATTATGTCAATTTTATGATGATTTATTTATCAAAATATTTCATGTTTTCAATTCACCCGAAAAGGTGAACATTTTGAGACTTAATTTTTGTTTTCGTTCTTAATATGTGGCTACACCTGCCTTTATTTGTGAGAATTTATTAAAAAAGTTATAATTTACATTTTGAGATGTATAAATGGGACAACAAACTACACAAATTACATTTATCATGTTAACAATAGACAAGTGATTCCTTTAGAACTAATTTTAACTTTAACGCCTCGATTATTAATCGCCACCAATTCACCCTCATAATGTGTTATAACTTCTTAAAAAGGGAACAATCTCGATCGATCAAAGTGGAAGACAAATCTGTTCACAAGTTTGGACAGTTTAACGAGCACATCGAGGTACTTAGCGCGGATGATGAGCCGCAGTACCGGGGCTACACCGCTGCGGTACCGGGTTCACACTATTTTAAATAGTCGACACATCACACTATGTATCGGAATCTTCGAATACCATACGATTTCCATAAAACATCATTTTCAGACGACTGGTCATCTTAGAGCTCCAATTCATATCCAAGTACACCATTTTATTTTCCGTCGTCCATTTCAGAGTACGTATCAAAACTATTTACATTGTCATTTTTATTGCTTACAGCCACGATTTCCTCACTACGACATGGTGACGCACTTTTTTCTACGCCCTTCTGTTAGTTCCTTCTCCAGTTCTTCGATGCTTTTTCCCTTGGTCTCCGGTAAGAAGAGGAGTACCAGAGCAGTCGCCAGCACGTTTATGACAACAAACATGTAGAAGCTGACGTGTGCTCCGAACCTGCTCGTCAGCTCACTGAACACAACCAGCTGAATGAAACTGGTGAACCACGCCAGCATCACAAGGTAACCCATCAGCTTGGCACGGATCTGTAAAGAAATTATATTCTTACCTATTTGCAACTGCACAATTCATCTGCATCAGTCCTCCAGTTCATCCGCTACGTTATTCCGATAGTAGTGCAAGTGAAAACTGTTCATTATCATGCTATTGACAATTTTAGAAAGCAAAAAAGTGAATAATAGTTTGTCTTAATCCAAAACCACTTGCGGCTATCAACTAGCGAGAATAGTTGACGAGAACTAACTAAATATAGGATTATTTCCCCCTTTACTATAAGAAAACTAGTTTCAACTTACTTGGAAATTAAATATCTCAGCCATGATAATAAAGGGCAGGGGACAGACGCCACCACCGTAGCAGCATATCAGCACCATCATCATGGTCACATTGATCCAGGCAGGAGCCATCCATCCGTATATCTTCAGCACTGAGGAGATGGCCATGCATGCGAAAGCGACTGCTGTGGCGGCAAAAGATGATCCCAAGATCAACTGAGGATAGAAACATTAAGTTTTATAAAGTCTATGTATTTTTGCAAGGGAAATCTTATTATTTGCTTTTACTTATGACAATTTCAGCAAGTTGGAAACTGTATTTACTTATGCTTACCTTTCTGCCCAGCTTGTCTATAGTAGTTATTGTGATGATGGATCCTAGTGTCATAAATATAGGAATGCTGAGTGACTGTAGTTCCGGACTGATATTCATGCCCGAGTCCTGCAGTAGGGTCGCAGTGTAGTTGAGCACAGAGAAACTTCCATTAGAAGCATGGACCAGGATCACCAAGATCATGATGATAAATGCCTTCCGCCAGGGTTTAGTTTTAACTGTGAAATAATTAGAAAATCTCTAAAATATGTCACATTTTATATCTGTAGTTTTCTAGTGTAATAATTAAAGTATAACTCACAAACTGTAGCCATTGAAATATTAGGTATGGACTTATAATATTCATCTTCCCGCTTGAGAGTTTCGACCTCATTCTGTATTTCTTTATCTTCAACATCGAGACCTCTTAAGAATGCAAGAACTCGCGTAGCTTCCTATAAATAAGGAATATTTTCAAATAACTTTTATTATTGAACATTGTTAGGGATGGCATAGAGAAGAATACAAATAGTTACGATCTAAACTTACCTCAGTGTTTCCCACTTTTATTAAGTAGGAAGGTGATTCCGGAGCCTTAAGGCACATTGCGAGCGTTATTATCGGGAGACCGACCACAATCCATAACACCGTGTAATAGTCTAGAAACCCTCCCATTAGAAACATGATCAGAATTCCTATACTTTGAGCTAGGGCAGCGACAGATGACAGTGAGCCTCTGATGCTGTCCTGGGCAATCTCTTTTACATACATGGGTACTACGTGGAAGCAGCCAGCTCCTGCCATACCGCTAAACACTCGGGCGGTGATCAGGGTCGTGGTACTGGCAGGCACTAACTTCATTACCCAGACCAACTGGAAAATAAGAAGTCACTTAAGAAAAAGCTTCATGGAGTTAAATAAATATATTAACACGAGAAAGAGAAAAAAAAACAGGATATATTATGGAACCTTCTAAAACTGTGTTCTATGGAATATTCTGTCTAAATGTTTCATTCATCTGTGAGAGACATTCATTTTGAAGTATATATATTACATCTAAAACACCACTTACCGTTTGTAGAACACTCATAACCAAGATCCCCATTTTCCTGCCAAATCGATCAACAGTTTTGATAAATACGAAGGCACCGAGCACTCCTGCCAGGGACGCTGAGCTGGCGACCCATGACACTTCACTGGCGGACAGTGGCCTGCCAGTGGGGGAGTCTGGTGACTGCAGCAGCACTGTGGCAGGTGACATCCAACCGCACTGGAGACCATATGTGAATACCGTCAAGTTGCCTAAAACCAAAACACTGTAATAAGCACGTTATTGTAATAAGCAATTACCGACACATTCATCTACTTAATTTAATCACAAAAGGAAACCTAGTCATACTAATATTCCTTGGATCAGTTTACGGGGAAAAGAAGGTAAGAGAAATTACTAAGTTATGGTCGATGTATCCAACTAACGAAGAACTTACACAATATTGTAATCGCCCATTGCACTCTTGTATGTCCCTTAGATTGTGAAGAAGTCATTTTAGTGAAGATTTTTTTTATGTTTCAATAATTCATGTAATTACAGAGATGCTCGCGTTTTTAAAGCTGCGTTAGAAATGCTTTAATATACTGGTGTACCACTCTTACAAATCAAATTCCCGAAGCCGCGTGATATCAAAGTTGTGGAGATAATTTAAGATAATGTCTTGTTGATTTTGCATCATGAACTTGTCACAATGGAGTAGCACTCAGTGATTCACATGATGTTTGCAAACTAACTACTATACACTATTTATTTATTTATCGTAACCATGTAGCAAAAGATAAGAAGGATCAAGAAAAAGTAAATAAACATTGATCAGGGATTTTCATAATCTTTAGTTTTTGTTTCTAGGGTTACATTAGGATAAGCAATGCATAAAATTAAGGTCATTCCAGTGTATTAGCACGTTGGTCAATCCGGGTTAAAAGCCATTCTTATAAAGGACTAAAATATTTGTATTCTTCCAGTGCCGAGAAAATAAACACCACTGTAATAAACACTATAATATAACACAGACTGTGCTGTCACATCTGGAAAAAATATATTCCTGTAATGGCCAATAAAGTGGACACAATAAATAAACGATTACACACCATATATGTATAGCTACATGGTGTCTTAAAATAGAAGTCAAATAATAGCTCTCTGCTGTTTACATTATTGTGACATGTATGATAATGTTTGCCTTATCTGGTTTTATTTGGTCAACATTTATTGTAAGCTCATTGTGTCTTGCATGTTACCATTCCAGATTTCTTAATAAAATACCATTTTTCATCACCCTACACTTCAAGCTCACTTCAATCTACACTTACCTACATAATCTCAAGGATTGTCAGTTAAATAAGGAACGGCGCAAAAAGAGGGTATCGAACTCGTGACCTAGTGATGAATAAAACACTAAGGTTCGTTTGATTAAGACTAAAAGCGTACTTAGTAAATGCTGGAGTAGATTACAGGGGAGTCTATCGTTAGATAGTTACGAAAATAAATGGTTGGTACACAGGCGAGGAGCGGGCGAGTGGCGGGCAAGTAGTGGGCGAGTAGCGAGCGAGTAGCTACTGCAAGAAATACAGATTAAATGTCTGCTAAGTGCTCCTGCCGAGTGCTTTCTAGTAGTGGATTACTATTGATCCACACTTTACATCCGTTTGACTTGTTACCGGGTTCATTTGTCCTAGGGATTCTAACTTTATAAATGAGGGGACTGTCTTAAGTACCCAGTAAAGCTAAACATGACATGTGGCATCGTCATGTAATTGTTGCGAAAGATGTCCTGATGACCTCAGAGAAATTATGTAAATGATTAGAACACGTGAACTGCTGATACAGTACACATTGGAAGCGAACTGTCACGAAATAAAACAATGTTTATTTGTATATGATAACATATATTATATTATCAGTTTATTTGCACTGATAGCAATGTATAGAAAATAACGTTGCAGAAATAAAACATTAAATAATAGTGCTGAGTACATATTCATAGCGATATCCCTTGGTTTAATAATCTATGTTGATGTCAGCTCACCTTTTTAATTTTTCGTCTAAAATAAGTTGCATCACTTTTATACGGATCGTTTTATTATGTTGTGTGATTTAATAGGATTGTTTATAGTAACATGAGCCATTTAATAGAGAACTAGATCTTGCCGTAGTTTTTCTTTCGGTATCCAATGTCTAATAACTTTTTCCAAAAGTTAGCAGCGTGGCATTCGTCGCCTTGGCTTAATCATGACTATGAGCTCCTCATTCTTTGCAGTTAATAGAGTTAGCTCGTCAAGTAGTTATATAAGTAAATTGTACAGAACAGATCTTTAAATTGTCAATGAAACTAGTCTATAAACTGCCAAACTCAAACATAAAAAGTAAAAACATTCAATAAGTAGTAATATGAAAGCTATTACCATCTCATACGACTCATATCACATCACACGACACGGTTGCATGTTGCATGTGTGTAGTGATTGCGCCATCAATATCCTGCTTACCCCGATTTCCCTCATAATTTCCGGCGCACACAGTGTAGTGTACCGACGTGCGCCGGATGCCATGAGCGTCACGTTCGTCTACAACCAACCACAGTACACGGAAACCTTTTGACTTGGTCTTTGGGAAAGGTCAAGGGTAAGTTCTAGTGCTGGTAATCTAAATGATTGCGTTAATTGATTTATTTAGGGGTCACGTATACGAAATACGTGAAGTAGGTTTAATTGAAATACAAGTTACTTTTTATATCTTTATTTATTTAAAGACTTTTATAAACAATACATGACAGTCTCATCGTACCTTTTAATTAACACGATACAACTAAAAAGAAAAAAAACTAATAACCGTTAACTTATCAAATCGCTTGTCGTTTACCATTGTTAAAAAGGTTCGTATAGGTGAATTGTCAAAAATTCCACACCGACTTTGCACATCGTTTTGTTGCACTGAAAGTTATATGGTAATTTTTGGTTAAAACTTCTCAGTATTCCAATTCGTGCTAACTGCTGTAAGGTAATAGGTTAGCGTCTGTAACATAGTTAATGAATAAGTGAGTGATTGAGTGATTGGTGAGCGAGTTGTACTCGGTCACACCGTTACGTGAACATAATTCTATGTGTTTCTGTTCGTAATGATACCGTGCGGGTGTCGCGCGCGTGTCGTGCGGGCGTCGTGCGGGCGTCGTGCGTGGCGCTAACTAACGTGACCCACTGAACATTAACTGGCCCTATAAAAGCTTTCAGTAACACAATCGTGTTTTTCCAACAGTATAATGTTATCGAGTTTCTCGAAGCAGGAAGTTTCCAAATTGACTAAATTAATAAGGATTAAGTTCGGCGCGGCCGCCGGCCGACTATACCGGCTTGTTATAACTGCATTGCGACAATATTCCGACCTATTCAGCCAGACGATTATCGAATTTATATTAAACTTGTGTAATTGATTGCCGGAGTTCACTCCCCTATCTATGTGTTTCTGTATCACTTCAGTTTCAGCGTACGTACTTACAATCCGGTTTATTATATAGATATCCGATAGATTATTAGATCATCGAGTGTGATGGCTCGCGGTCACATCACATGTAATGTATTGCCTGGTGACATGACATAGCGTGACCTTAGGCACCCGTCTCTATACAGAATAACAAATAAAATGTCTAAATGTGTGTGTGAGGTCAAAGCATCCTCTCTAATTCCAGTTTTACAACATTTGAGCCCAGATATGGGTTTGAAAGATAAAATAAAATTAATGTTAGGCAAACAAATAGCCTGCATCATCATTTGTTGGTGGAAATAAAATGTAAACAGTACTAATTCTGTTTATCTCGAACAAAACGCGGAGATAACGTGAGTGGCTACAGTTCCTGTCGTAACGATAAGTCGCGAGCAAACACTCGCGGTCTATTTAATTATTTACTAATCATAAATACTTCTGTAGCCTGTCGTGGAAAAAGTAAATGATTACAATGAAAAAATACCATGAGGTATTAGATAAACATAATTTGCGTTTGTATAACGCAAATAGTACAAGGTTCATTAAGCTTTATGTAAGAGCAGTAAGGATTATATTCGTACAGCCACATTACACAATCATGTGTGCTGTCTATTTTCATTCATGGACATGTTTGTAGGAATTCACTCGAAAGTAAATAGCTTCGCATTACAATACTTACAATGCTTTATTCGACTGAAAAGTTGAAAACTTGTGAAATTGCAAATTGACTACTTTGGAAGTGTTATCGTTCGCATTGAAATACCGAAGGAATGTTAATTAAAACTTTTAGTTTGATTTATTGTAACTTGCTAAATTAGCTGTAGGTATTATTTATTTATTGAATGTCATCATTTTATTCACCTACTTCAACTAAATCATTTTATAAGTAGTAGTATCTTAGCATACGACAGTTTCCAATTTTCTTTAATGTACTTACTTTTGTACTTACGTACATACACCATGGAATTTATATCGTTTTCGTCCCGAAGTAGGTTCTGTCTTAGTAATACAATATTTGAACAAAGAAATAAAATGTTAATTATAAAAATAACTGGTGAACCATTGCAAAACACAAACTTCAAATGCACATACCTACCTACGAATTTATAGTACCAAAACATTTGTTATTAAAACATCACGCCATGTAATTCTCGAATATAGAATAGAATAAAGGTATTTCTCATCGGGTGGCACGTGCGATGCGAATAGAGTCTACAAATTTACGTCTAGTGTTTTATTTATGTACGTATGTTCATGAAATTATTTTGAAACTGAAATAAAAATTACATCTTTATTTTATTTTTTTACTTTATACATCGTAAGCACTCGTTACGGCAAGCTATTGACGTTGACGAAAACGAAATAGGTGCTATGGTGGAAATGTGACAAAGTCATACATACAGGAGCACGGCAGTAATATCGCGGGCAGGATCAGGCCGGTCCATAATATTGTTATCATATATCGCACCGCTAGTAATCTGATTGATTTTATTAACGCTCTGCACGAACCGAACACCTATCGCGATCCTATTTACTGTACAATTACACTATTTGAAACTATGCGCCATGAACGCCATGATATTCAATTTTAATGTATTTATTTCGCACTGTGTTAATATGTGTTTAGGTTTAGTAATTATGCAAATATTAGCTATACTGATGAACATTAATTTGTCAATTTGTGCAGAAAATTTATTTTCGTATAATTATTATGGATAAATTATTCCAGGAAATACACTGTTATCTGACTCTTGTTAGTTATTTTAATGACATTGACATTAACAGTTATTCTGCAAGTTGAAACGGAGAGGACTTCAACAAATAGAAATCATCATAATCTTAGTACCTTAATTATTTCAATGTTCTCAGCCTTTAACAGGACACATGTATGTGTGTTTGAAGAAGCCAAATTCGGTTTCTTCCAGCCTACAATCTGTCGCGCCAGTACTTAGGAAAACTACCCGCGAATGTCCCAGTCTAGTGAACATCACTCGCACGTCATAATGCACAATCA